GGTTGTTTAGAGAAGCAGGCGGGTAGTTTTTGGAGCCTGGAGGGTTCCTCCAGTCCTAGGGAGGTCTGAATTTGCTGGTAAATGTTAGATGTTTAGATTGTTACAGTTGTATTTTCCTGTACCCTAAAGTCTATTCAATTTATGTTGCTTTGTTCTTGGAAGTAAATCAATTTGAAGTGAATTACATGTAAGTCAGGAGTTCAGTGATGTTTGTGTAAAGGCTACAATTGGCTTGATCTGTCCGCTACCCGGCTGGTATTGAAACCACTGCATCTAGCGTCAAATTTATTGTCAAACAAGCTATTGTAACAGAAATGCGCGGTTACAAAACAAACACAATGGTGTAGAACAGTTTTCAGTTGAGTGTCGAAAGTAATCCATGATTGCTATGGTTTTGCCTGCCTTCCTTCTGTGATTGGTCCAAAAACTCGCACTACCTTCTCAGCCAATCAGATTCAAGACTGGAACCAATCTTGATTTGGTCACGTGCGTTTTCCCACGTTTCATGCAGTTCGCTTGTTCTAATTTCAGCTCTCATTGGTTAAAGATGATGTCGACCTTACGTCCGATTAGCTGTTTTAATTACTCTGGTGTTTTGGTTTTTACGAAACTCAACTGAAAACTGCTCTAACTGACTTAGGTAGCTGGAGAATTAGTGACTACTATTCCAAGGGAATATTTAAAGACAAGCATTTTTCTTTCCAATTGTTTCGTACTTCAGGAAGCGAAGTACTTATTCCGGCTTTACATGGCTTTAAAGCAATACCGTGAGGCAGCGCGCACCGCCATCATCATTGCAAGGGAAGATCAGAATGCTGGTAACTACAGGAATGCTCATGACGTCCTGTTCAGCATGTACAGAGGTTTGTCCTGTATATTATTTTGCTTGACAGTTATGGGAATTTATATCACTGGTTAGAGAATCGTTTAATTTGTGCTTGAATGATCGTAATTTGATATACAAAACTGCGTTTGGTTAGCTCATGTTGTTGAGCGGCGAACCGAAGTTGAGAGTTCAGGCCCCATACCGGACCAACACTCTAGGTCTTGAAAATAATTGAGGAAAATATTCTGCCTTTGCTATGACATCCAAAAATAGTTACACATTTTAGTCTTCTCATATGAGGACGATGAACCGTGGGCTCCGTCTCCTGCATCTTCTCTGTACTGGTTAACAGGGGACGTTAAAGAACCCACGCACTTCTCGCAATTTAGACGTCTAGAATTCCTGTTTACTGTTGTACTTGGAATATCTTCAGATTTTACTTTTAAATTTCTAGAGCTTACTGATCACAAGATAAAAATTCCGACGGAGATGATGCAGAATCTCATGATCCTTCATAGTTACATTCTGGTTAAGGTTCGTGCAACTTGTCAGCAGTGTTTCCTAGCTTATTTACCTTCCCAGCTTCATCTTGATATCAACAAAGAACTGTATGCAAGTGGAGCTCAAGCATTCGCGTCCATATACTTTTTGTTTGTTGGGGCCGAAATCGCCGTCCATTTGATTTTTCTACCAATCATGTGCAGTTGGTTTTGTTAATCACTTTTCGTTCCGTTTTTGTGACTACTGCGCGAGCGTGTAGTCCCTGCCGCTATCATGTCAGTTTTCCAAAAGTAGGTAGGTAGGAATAGGATACACAATGGCAAAGTTCAGACTCTCGCGACACGGCGAAGATTTACGGATAATTCCCGATGACAAACAGATGCTACGTTGCCTCTTGGTCTTTAAATACTAGCAAAGCTATCTCAAGACTTAGTGGTTCTTGACACAGTACTAGCCTCTATTTTTGTTTTTTTTTTTTTCATGTTTTGGTTTTGCTTTCTTTCGCATGTTGGCGTTTAGTTTTCTGTTATTTACCGGTGTACACTTGGATCCAATACTTGTTACTGTGTAATTCTTGGTAGTTTGCCTGCATGTTAGTGTCAAAATGTATTGTTTTGTTTAATCCTTTTCAGCTGCACGTGAAACGAGGTGATCACATGAAAGGTGCCCGTATGTTGATCAGGGTCGCCAATAACATCAGCAAGTTCCCTGCGCGTAAGCGTTGAACATTCTTGTTCTACTGAAAGTGTTTATTTTAATTGTGCAGAAGGTTGTTTTATGACACTTTTTTAGAACTTCTTGCAGCAGAAAGCTTTTTGCAATATTCTTTCACACCTTCTAAAGGGAACAGAGTGTGTTTAATTACGTACCTCAGACATTTTTTCCTACCAAAACAATCATGCGTGAGTTGTTCCCTTTCCACGAAAATACCTTTTTCTGTAAAGATAGATTAACGTGAAATTAAGAAATAATTCTTCTTATACTATTTTGAAATGTATATAATTTAGAAAGGTCGCCTGAAAAGGGTTTGGTTGGTTCTGCTTCATTCTATTTTGAAGTCGTTGGTCACGTTTGTTGACTAATTCTTCGTTAATTTATTTCCTGATTTATGGTTTGTTTGTATGTTGTTGTTTTTTTTCATTGCTTACCCTTCCTCAGACGTTGTTCCAATTCTGACATCCACCGTTATCGAGTGCCATCGGTCAGGACTGAAAAATTCTTCGTTCAGCTATGCTGCCATGTTGATGAGACCTGAATATCGTCAGAAGATTGACCTCAAGTATAAAAAGAAGATTGAACAAATTGTCAGGTAAAACTTTTAAAGGCCGACTGTTTAAACAAATTTTGACCGATGACTAGCAAAACCGCCATCTAAACTACATAAAATTTAGCCAAAATTTTCGTCTGAAAACCTTGGCAGTTGTGAATAGTGTCAAGAAGGCTTGTAGAAAAATAACTTCCACACACTTAAACAGAAATCTCGAGATCCCTGAATGTTCAAAACGCGGGAAAAGGCGCGGCTTAGTTAAAATAGTCGGCACCGAGGTTTCAACTAAGAACTATTTAGAAATCTGCTTACAAAGTCGTTCCTTTGACTATCAATTTGTCCAGCTACTTAAGTATATACTTTAAGCTATCTTAAAGCTTCTGGGATATTATGATAATGAACAAAGAAACGTACATATTACCTTGTTCTTAGATTGATTGTTTCCAGTTCTGTAGTTTTATATTAATGTTCTATGATTAACTCTCCTTTCAGGAAACCTGACAAAACGGAAGAGGACGAACCTCAGGATCCTTGTCCTTACTGCGGCAACGAAGTACCTCAGACAAAACTGGACTGTCCAGAATGTAAAAACACCATACCATACTGTATTATCACGGTGAGTAACAATGAATAGCGGCAGTCCGCGGGCCAAGCAACCGCCAGAGACTGGGATCCATTATTCCTGGTTTGCCTCGTTCACAAACACAAACACATTGCTTGCGGGTAAACATGTTTCTGGTACTACGGCATTTCTAGAAATTGAGGAACGGAAAATTATCCGACAATGAAGCAAAGTCAGTCGCACGCAAATTGTCGGAAATTGGGGAACTCTTTATTATTTTTTTCACAAATTACAGGAATCAGTCTCGCTTAATAGTTCGTTTCTAACATCTGACACTTGAAGTATTGTTTGATTTGATGTTTGCAAGAGATATTGTGTTTTTCAATATTCAATATTTCTCTCATAGGGTCGTCACATGGTTAAAGACAACTGGACAATGTGTCCCAATTGTTCTTTCCCAGCTCTTCACTCGGAACTCATGAGGTTGGTTTAGTTTTGACATAATTTTGTTACATCGTTTGTATAGTATTTAGATTTAAACAGGCTTAAATGCGGCGCTACAATTGTTTTTCTTCGTGTATGGCATCAGTGAACGCAAGCCTAATTGAAGAGAGACGTAAAAAAAATTAATGTAAATTATCAGTCGACGCCACAGTTTAAGTACAAGGGATTTCTCAAAACAATTCCGAAGGCCTCATTCGAAATCAGCAAATTTTAATTGTTTTAAGGTTTCAGTCCTTGCTCTTCGTGTCGCTGAGTGATGATTTGGCTCTAAATCTGTTTTTTAACAATCTGAAAGGTTTTTTTGAATGACAACAACGCTTTTACTTGTTTTGTAAGTAACAAGTCCTCGTTAGCGTAATTATAGTTCGTTTGGAGCCCCAGAATGTTTATCTGCATCAAGTAGGAGCGCGAGAAGGCAACAACTTGTTTCTCTTGCTCGCGTACTTGGACGTGTAGGACGAAATATGACTGTAAAGTGCGGAGGCACGGTTATGACCTCATAACCAGATTTACTTTGCTTTTGGGATCATCCGTAGCGCGCGCGTGCTCCGCTATTTATTTGATTTACAGCTCTTCAAAGTGCAAAGGTATTTTTTGGTGGATGTAGGGTTTCACCGTAGAAAACGTCTTGTCAATGTATTGCTCTTTTACTTTTTTGCAGTCTACTTGAGGCCAGTGAGACAGTGTGTCCAATGTGCTCTCAAAGCATAGCGGCCACAGAGGTGAAACCGATCAAGGATCCTTCACCGTATCTGAAGACAGCAGATCAAGACTGACGATTGAGTCAGAAGCAAGTTCTGTGAAATGTCAAGTTTGAGTTGTAACTGTAAATACTCATCGCTTCTTGGATCTGTGTTTATTTAACGGCGTGAGATAGTTGGAATCTCAAGTAATCAGTGAAATGCGAACGGTAGAGTCACTTGTCAAATAAAACACGTTATCTAACAAATGATTGTCGAGATGATTTCTTTCCCCTTCCAACTTGAAAACCCCGGAAGCTAACGCACCCCCAATGTGCGAGTAGGAATTGTGTTTAGGAAGGGGTAAGGTTGTCATTTCCTTCAAAGGCTCTTTCGTAACCTGAACATGCCACATCGTCCACCAGGAAAACAATCTATCTGTAGATGGAAGGATGGAAAGACCACGATCGTATTTGTATTATTACGCAATTTCTTCATTCCGCAGTCTATTTTAAATACTCATTTTTCTTGTTACCATTTCCAAAATTAAGAGCAAAAGTATACTTTTTATAGAAAACGCCCTGCAAACGATCAACTGCTTTAGTGACATTAAGGTATTTTAAGAAGGCTTTAAGGAAACTGATTCATAGAGAATATTGCTTCTGCTTACTATTTCAGTTCTTTAATACTGTACATATAAAATAATTCTTTTGCATTGAAGTTAATGTACATGTGTAATCTTACAAGAGGACTAAAAATTGTTCCAGGAAATTGTAACCAGTCAGTTTGTTAAGGTGGTTGTCCTCTTAAAATATCAAGTAAATTGACTCTTCACCCATCCAGTTCCACATGCACGTTAGATTGGCCATTGTTTAGTACAATGTGACAACAATCACACAGACTGCTAAAATCAAAAGGCAAAAAAAGACAAAAAAAAAATAAAAAAACTGAAGAACATTTTGTATCGGCCTCTGAGATCATACATCAATTGCATGCTCTAATTTGGGAATTCTATTGTTTAACTGACTTGTGTTTGACTGTGGAACTGTCGAGGTTCAGATCTGTGGTAACTTTCCACATAACTCTCTATCAGTATTTTTTTTTCTATGCAGAATACAAATAACTGTTAATCAAAACTTCAAAATAAATGTAACAGTGCTACTTAGCCTTGCCTAACCTAAGGAGGTAACAACACCTAGCTGATAAAATTTAAACATTTACATGACTTGTACAACTGTGTTGAGTCACCTGTTGGAAGAATGTTAATAAATAACATTCTCTTTTATTTTCATCAAGTCAAGGCAATTCCTCACAAAAAGTATGAATTATGCCATTAATTGAAAAAGCAAAACAGGTCAAGGCTGACTTATGCCAAGTGGCTATCGAGATAATCTTTCTGTACTAACAAAAGTAGCTCCATGCCAGGAAAAGGATGGCATTACCAACACTTGATGAAAATCACAAGTCAACTTGTTTTCACTAAATTCAAACCTCCTACCCTTTACAAATTAGTCAGCCCATGGGCTTTGGGTACATGAAGACCACATTTAAATAAGTCACAGCACATTAAGGCACAATGTATTACTTTATCTATTGAGGTGTGTTTACTACATCAAAACAATTCCATGAGGTATTTTAAGAACCAAAATAAAGGAAACTGTCATAGATTTTGTTGCAATCTAATGAGTTCCTAATTTTACTATTAATGCCATTGCCTAGCTAATCTGGATTGAACAGATTTACCTGAATTTAAAAAATAATTGTATCCCAAATACATGTGGTGCATGTGCTACACCGCATTGTTTTTATGTCCAGTTTAGCTTTGCAATGGTAGTACTCGAGTTACAATCATGACACAACAAATTGCAATAAGTCCATCCCTAGATTTCATGGAGGAAAGGGTATCCTCTGATAATATATGTAGTTTGAAATCTTTATTTCACATCCTCTGCCGTTTTCATCTTTGTTTTTCTCATTTGAAGACACTCAATGAAGTCACTTCAGTTCCATAAATTACAAAACTGGCATTTTAAATGTACTGGGCCAGCCACCTAAAGCCTAAAATAAAAAAAATTTTGAGTGATTTAAACACGATTTTCTCTGAGAATTTTGATTCTATATAAACATGCCTCACATTGAGGTCTTTGAGAAGGTGAATGGACACCACTTCTCACTTGTTTGACAGCAAGAATTCTTAGCTTAACCTTACCGCTGGATTAGGTAAAATTCATGAACCCTTTAACTCCAGAAGTGATTACCCTGTAACTTCTCCCTATAATATCCATACATGATCTAGCAAATGGGTAACAAGAATACCCAAGCTTAGCAGGTAGAAGTTGTTACCTTGATGGAACACCAAAATCTCCTAACCAATTTACAAGGAAATGTGTAGCAGCTGGAGGGGAGATTTCATAATCATATCATGGGATTGAAAGGGTTAAAGTACCCATTTAAATACCAGAGGAGACCAAAATGGCATTTCTCCTTACAATTTTGATTTGTTTTCAAGCAGATAAGTGATGAGAAGTAGGAAAAGTATTTGAGCGATACTGCTTGATTTACTACCAAATTCTCAACTGTCGAGTCATAAGAAATGTCGATGTATGGTAAACAGAGCAGAGAATCAGCATCAAGCTCTGGAGAGTGAAAGGGTTTAAATACTTCACAGTAAGCCTGTGCATCTCTACATATTGTATGCAAAATTTGTACACTGTATACAAACTGTTTTCACAAGACTTACCTTCACCATATCCCTGTCTTTTTAACACACTACACATATACAATTCCATTGGCCGGGCTTGTAAATCTTTAGCGGCTATATTTCCCTGAAGGAAGAAGTATAATTTACCATTATTTCATAGCTGTGCATTCAATACTAGATGGTAAGTACCTTACAAGGCATATTTAAGTGGTGTTTTGTTTAGGGTACAAATACATGTAGCTGTAACTGCAGTTGTAGCCAACAAGAGTGAATAAAAAGTGTTGTCATCCTTAGTAGTTCAGCAGCCACAGACTCGACACTTAATTAAGTTTTTCTTCTCATATATTTAAGATGGTAGGTACACGTGTAGATTTAGCTTACAAGGCATCTTTAGGGGGGTGCTTAATGTAGGTTACAAGTAGCTGTAACCATACTGTCTTGTAACCAACAAGAGCAAATGAAAAATTTTGACAGTGTTGTCACCCTTAATGGTTCTGCAACTGCCATAAACTTGGCATGTCAATTAAGTCCATTTATCTTATACACCTATACATTTTAAATTTCAGGAACACTGCATGTACAAAGAAATGCGAGGTCAGTAAAAATATGTCAAGATAGTAAAAGCAAGCAAGATTGCTTATCAATAAAGAACATTTGATTTATCTTTTTTCAAAGTCAAGACACCATGATACATCAATGTAATAGTAGATATATTTTAGATATAAATATGTTAAATGGTGCTGATCACCAGTTTATACCAGCTGGCCTCTCTACGTTCAGCTGACTGGTTTAGTCAAGGTAATTGATGATGATGATGGTTGTTATTGTTACATGTCATTCAGTGAAACTTTGTACCTTTCCTGTGGTGAGACCGTAAAGGCCAAAGTACTGTCTGATGTAGTCTTCACTAGCAGCACCTGGGATATCAATTTTGTTACCAAGAAGAAGAACAGGGCAACTTGCTAACTGTTCATCAGCCAACAAACTCTGCCAAGTAACAATCAAAACTTCATATAAGCTACAGTATTGTTGAGCACTAATTTGACTGAAAGGTACATGCACTGCTGAACATCTAAATTCAATGTGTGCCTCTCACAAACCATTTTTTTTTTATGCAAGAGCACTTTAGTGTACCCTGTAGTGTGTGTGGTTAATCATTTTGCACATAGATGTACCTTTTTTGAATGAACCACAGATGTCTGAGATGTACATATACTCTTAACTTCAACAGCTTTTGTATTGACCAGGGTATAGCAACTAGTTAGGGCAATGTCTGATCTTCCAAATCTTCCAAATAATTGACTTGAGAAAAGGAAATTAAAAGATACATGATGTTACTACTTCAAAACCTGCACAAACCTCTAGTTCACTCTTGGATTCAGGAAGCCTTTCTCCATCAGCACAATCAATGATGAAGACTATTCCATTAACAGCAGGAAAGTAATCTTTCCAAATGCGTCGAGCTGTGGAATAAATCAGAAAATCAGCCAACTCATTCATGGGTTTGTGTTTTTTTGTTTTTTGTTTTCTTTTTTCAAACTATAATGGTATNACTCTATGGTGAGCAAGGGTCAATTAGTGGGTATTGACTGGAACCGCATCACGCGGCTACACAGCCAAACATCAGCTAGCGCATAGAAGCTCACTAACAGCATCACGCTGTCACATTAAAGCATCACATGCATTAAAGCATCACATGCAGCCAACCAACCTCCAAAGTGAGCATGTAAACATGAAATAAACAATTTTTAAAAATCGAGTTTCCAGATGGGATTTGAACCCACGACCCTCCGTGATCTAGTCGGATGCTCTAACCCTGAGGGTTGTGGGTTCAAATCCCATCTGGAAACTCGATTTTTAAAAATTGTTTATTTCATGTTTACATGCTCACTTTGGAGGTTGGTTGGCTGCATGTGATGCTTTAATGCATGTGATGCTGTTAGTGAGCTACTATGCGCTAGCTGATGTTTGGCTGTGTAGCCGCGTGATGCGGTTCCAGTCAATACCCACTAATTGACCCTTGCTCACCATAGAGTCTCCTGTAGCTCAGTGGTTAGAGCACCCGACTAGATCATGGAGGGTCGTGGGTTCAAATCCCATCTGGAAACTTGATTTTTAAAAATTGTTTATTTCATCTTTATAATGGTATAGACACAGAAATTGGAGCTCCTTTTCCTTTTACCGAAATACAAGTCCTCTGTATCAGTGGACTAATAAGTGAAGCATATCATACCTTGCTTATGACCACCTAGATCAAACGTTGTGAACTTCATGCCACCCATTGACAATTCTTCAGATGCTAGGATTTAACAAAGTATGACTTCAGTGCATCATTTTCCAAAAAAAAAAAAAAATTAAGTGAGACCATGAGGTTTACATTTAACCTATTAGTAAAATATTGGGGACAAATTATTTAGACCTATAACCTACAAAGTAAAACCCTGCTACAGCTGTACATGTAGGTTTCCACCCTTTAACTCACATTTTCAAGGTGGGTTATTACCAGAATGTACATTTCTGACAGTTTGAATTGTTCAACAAACATCCTGCATTGGTGGTAAAGGCAGATCTTAAAACTGACAATTTTTCAAACTGTCTGATCCAACACTAGGGACCTTAAGCAGTCAGGATGGCAACGCCAAGGAAGACTTCGATTAAAAAATGAATTTCTACTCTTAGTTAGAATTTTAAAAATGGCTGCATGAGCTTACTGTCTCCTACTATGCCACAGCTGAACTTCAGCATGATGTATAATAGCAGGGGTGAGTTCCAAATGGAAATTAAAATAATTTGCCGCCGCGGTTTCGGTTCGCAGACCACGAAATTTTGGCGATTTCACGTTGTTGTTTTGCATGGGACGGCTAAGAAATGTACAAAGTCTCAAAATGCACATGCTGGGCTATTGTTCTGCCAATTAGATCTCTTGTTTTTCCACGTCCTTGTTGCCGTTGTGGTTGCTTAAGGTCCCTACTAATTAAAGAAAGAACATGTACAGGTATAATGTAGTTGAAGAGAACAACATACTTGGATGAAGGGTAGGTACATGCTGTGCCATACGGTCATCCTTCAGCATGTGCAACAAGGTTGTTTTACCAGCATTATCTAGTCCTAGAAAAACTAATTTACCAGTCTTCTTCATTAGCCCTGTTGGGAAAAAGCAAAAGACATACTATTATCACAATGTTTGACACTGATTGGAATAGTTGTTTCTACAATTTTAGTAACCTTTAGTTAACTTATTCACCACGTTTGCACCAGTTTCTTCCCAAGATATTTGGAGACAGACACAAAATACTTTTAATTTGATTATAAATGGAAATGTTATGACATGTACATGCATAACCTATGGCAGACTGGTTCATGTTAGTCTGGACTTTAGAATCTTGGAGGTCCAAAGTTCAAATTGGGCATATCTTCACCTAGCTAATAGAACTTCTGATTCCATAGTCAGCTGTGACCTTTACACAGCCAATTAGTCATGCACCTTTCAGATGGAGATGATAACAACTCAAATTCTACTTTCCATATTTGTTTTTGTTTACAGTAACCCCTATCAGAAAAATTTATTCTGCTGTAAATATACTTTATCATCATCTTACATGTAAACTGAATCTCAAACCTCCTGGGCATATATGGCCGCTGTTTACTATACTAGAAGCTGGAGGTATTCAGCAAAGTATAATCACAGTGGTAGAGTGACAAAAGTCATTGTCTATCATGTACATGTTGCTCAATGTCGAGATTTAGAGAAATGTGCAATACATCTACATGTGTATCTTTCAAAATAGAAGAACTAAAACAAGATACCTCCACAATGAAGCAAAATATCTTGAATATTCTAAATTACAAAACTACGTGTTTAGTGGGTAAATAGCCATCAGAAATTGGTTACATCTCTTTGATGGAAAATTGGCAATTTTCCTGACAGAGAAACTGAAACAGGTGGTCAAGACCTAACATGATAGATATTACAATGTATCATGTGCAGTGTACGAGGTTTGTATTGGCCCAAATTTGAGGCTAAGGGCAAAAGTAGTACACAAGTAAAATCATCCATGACTAATACAATAAAATAATTTCTGCTAACACCTTTGAACATGAGCGTACTAGATGAATCTGAACACACAGCTGAGACTTTCCATAAAACAATTTTATGTAATCACTGAAAAAGTCTCTTTGGCAAGAGCTGGACATTTCTCTTAGAGGAGATTCTAGAAACTTACCTAAATAGTTTAACATTCCAGTGAACCATTCCCACATAAACATTTTTGCAACAAACCTGAAAAAATTGACAAAGGGAGAATCGTTATTACATGAAATTAAATCTTGACAACGGTTCTTTATACAGTATTCCTTCGATGTCATAAAATTAACTTCATGAACAACTCACAGATTGAATCGCATCGCGGTAAATTCACTTTCGGACGAAATAGTCATTTTGAAATAGCTTTAGTTTTTCTTTTCGATTGAAACGAAAGAAATAATTGTCACAAAAACACAGTGTATTTCCTATCTCAGACACTTATAGCTTTGAATTTGCCACTGTAGTTGTGGTGACGTGCCAAAAATTACGTAAAGCGCCGCTATCTATTCCAATATGGAACACTGTTTAACTGTATACTGTAGATTCGATGGCGTGGCTATTTCTCCGAGGTAAGAATTAGCAGAAAATTTTCGCAGAAGACCTCGTAAAGTCATTTTAAACGACTGCATTCTTCTTGTACATGGACACGTAATGCCAAACCGAATCATCATTTGCCGGTTCATTGTAACTAGTATACCTTCACACAAAACAAATTTTCTAGCAGAGTGAACTAAGAAGGATTTTCAAAAAGGAACTTATGACAAAAAACTTTTCAGACTTACCTAAAACTTTGAAAATCCTACTTAAAAATCGTGATAATATTGGAAGTTTTTGTGAGACTCTCACAAAATTTTACACGCGTACGACTTTCCGGCGTGATTTCCCGTATGTTGCCCTAATTGCGCAACTGCGCCACGTAATGACCTCGATTTGGTTCATGATATGATTTCCGGTCAGGGGCGTTTGGGGGGCACGCGAAAATCATACCTGTCTGGATAAGTCTTTTTTCGGGGCGGAGGGGGGAGGGTTTTTCGTCATTTTCTTTGTTTTTCTTTCTTTTTTATGTTAACTACAAACAAAATTTTTTTACAGACTCTAAGAATCAAAGAAAGGGACAGCGGTACAGTCAGGTCCGTACTTTAACTTACGTATTTCCGGTTGAAGTCCCGTCTACACCCAAATAGGATAAACAGGAGAGTATTTCTATGAAAAGTACCCAACCATCGATCTGAGAGCCTCTGGCACGGTTTTTAAATTTATTAGAAACTTTAGAATACTGCCTTATTGGGAGTTTCCGTTTTTTTTTCAATGATTCAATATTTGTCCCACGCTTGTGACAAGACGAAACTGACATCTTTCTCTATTTCTTTACCGAGCTCAAAATTTACCGTTATTCTATTTTCAAAAGATGATGCTATCGACATTGCGTCCTGCTCACCAAAGAGCATCGGTGCGCGGAATCCGAAGATCTGAATGTTTCCTTATGAGGACCCAGATTTTTGTCTTTGTCCTCGCTCGTTACAAGACGAAAACACCTTTCCCTATTTCTTCTCCTAGCTCAAAACGAATCATTATTCTATGAATCTTTCTATTACACATATAAGAGCCTGATATCTGTTACCCCAACAAGATAACATGTATTTGTTAGAATGAAAAATGAAATCAGTGGGGAAACATCGTCAAAGCTGATATGCGGTAAAAGGGTTTATTTTTGTTTTGTTTTTTTGTTTTTGTTTTACAACAAAGTTCTAAAGGAGTTTACAAGAATGCTTAAGTATTAATCAGCCATGTTTCCTGACAAACGTGTCCAAAGCTCGAGAAACTAGAAGCAAAACGGGACTAGAACATCCATGATCCCGAGTCCATCATCCTGAAAAAAACTCTAACTCTGCACGGCAGTAGCAACCAATCATGACACTGATTGTCTGATGTACGGGTCGCTCATACGACAACCGACCAATAGCTACGCACAAGGCTTTCATTGCACTGCGCCCTCCTGTCCAACAGCCCTCGATCGTTTCAGTCAGCGGTAAGGTATGAGGAGCATACAAAGAGAAAATGTGCTGGGATGGGTGGCGGTGATTGGTTGAATTGTTTTATTTATTCTCCTGGAATGAAATAAAATTCAACAATAACCTAAACTAAACATCGAACCAAAACAAAATAATGAGTTTTTTTCAAGTTTTTTTTAATCACTTTTTAGGTCATTGGCTGAGTAGATGGCGCTTGGAATACTCCTTTCTGGCCAGTATAGGGCCAGTATAAGGCCACTACCGGGCTAGGACCAATGCAGGATACGTCAGGAAAAGTTCCCCCGGCTGCAGTCTTCTTGCTTATTGAAGTTGTGTTACCATAACAACAAGGTCTATGCTTAATATATGACACTTTCTTCATATATAGAGGCGAAAAAGATCGTGAAACCGCCTTCAATTGTAAGTTACTACCAGAAAATCCAGTGACTAGCAAGTCCGAAAGTGGGTAATGAATTGCTAGTCAATAGTACTGACAGAGATTAAACTACATGCATCGTACGGATCTTCATACGTACGGATTTCATATGTTTGTTGTACGGACCTACGTTTTAAGTTTAGCAAGATCTACGCCTCTCGTTAGGTTCTATAGGCGTTGTAATGGAATATTTAGCAGTACCTCGTTATTTACACCGGTTATGAAGGCGTTATTTCATATCAGTGCTGGATTGATATCTGATTGCACAGCTTAATTTTACAGGCAAACTGTTATCTCCGGTTGTTTGCCATCTCAAAATTCGAACTTCTTTCAAAGCGAAATCTGCCCATGCATACCGAATTAACTTTCGTGACACCTAACCAACCCAACAAGTACACACAACTTTTATGCAAAAAAGCATGATTTTTCATCTGTAGAAAATGAAATTTTAATAAAGCCGTTTAAAACTCTTTAGAATTCCTTCTATGGTTGACAAGTTAGGAATTTGAATTAATGTCATAGTTTTCTTTAAAGGCCAGCTTTTGTTTATTTTGTCTTAATGAATTTCCGCAATAAATCGCACTTACTGTGTTAATTACATGAGAGTAGAGGCTTTGCAGAAAGATTATCTTTATATGAAACGGTGAGAAATTAAACTTGATGACTTCATTGAAGCGTTCACCGGACATTTCTCTGACGAATAACTGCTCAAATTGTGTGTTGTGCTCCTTGTCGTTTTCTTTTGTTGATTGTATATCAATCACTTACGCCCATAATATCAACAAACTGCTCAAGAGGTACTTTCTCCTTTTACCTCACCACGTTTAATGAGAAAAGGTTAGTGAGAATGAAATGAAACTTGCAACAAGGTGAGAGACCAAAATTCTGACCGAAAGAGAAATTCTCGTAGCACAACATAAATGATGTATTGAACTATGAGTCAGGAGATTTATTTCCTTACCATTTGAATGCATGTTGCGACGGAATAATCGGTGAGGAATGAAAAATTTAAGTAGTGTCCACAAATGAATTCAGGGCATTAGCAGCTGAGTGAGTCGCCGCATGCATTTTTCGATCACCACGTCTTCAACTGCATTTTAGAGAGGCTATGGCTAAGATGTCTTGGGTGGGTTTATTTATGCTCCTCTGCATTACGGCCAGTTTCGTCTCAGATTCCATGGCGCTAACAAATATGCAAAACTGGAAGCACAACGGCAAGCGCCGTTTGATATTGAAAGACCGATAACAGAGTCGTCGGGAAAAAGAGGTACCGCATATTGAGCGAATTTATGAAATATGATATGAGATCCATTTAACTAGTTTGTTAACCAGGGCAGAAATTGAATAGTCCTTAAAGCTAGTGTCGAGGGATTTTGCAGTTGTTCGTATCTACAGCGCGTGAAATACCCTCAGTCTTGTCAGGCTTGACAACACAAATGCTGGTAGTAAATCACTCAGACGTCCGCATAACTTCGCGGTGTGAATTCATGGTAAAGTGAAAGCAATACGTAGAAACTAATAGTGTTTAAAAAGGAACACACAGTGAGACATCTTATGAATCTTTTCAAGTTCAAACAATTTCTGAGTCTGATCAGGAAAAGTTTCTTGTCTCTTAGTTTGCGATATACAAATATGCGGTTTGTCTATCAAAATGAATATGTATAAGAAATGCTTATCTGTTTATTTTTAGATGTTAATAATTTTTTTCAAAAAAATTCCGCTTTGCAGCTGTTGACCCTATAAGTTAGTAGTTTCTACCTTCGCCAATCGTCCGACGAGTCTTAATTCGCTGTGCTAACACGTCCTTGAGAAATGCATGATAATATGTATGACAACCAAAAATAAAAAAAAAAAATTTTATGTTTAGGGTTTCACATCATGCTAATAACCATTGTTTAGACAACTCTCAGTTGTCATACTTAAGAGCATTAATCTCTATTAAATATTCACCTCTTCATCAAATTTGCACTTCTCTTTCCAAATTCCATGCTTGCCGACACTAAAATAATTAAAAAAGGCGATGAAGTAGCGGTACTCAGTAAAGAATGGAAACAGGCCTTGGAAATGTTTTCTTTGAGTGAACAGCTCATAGTTCGGCATTCATGTACAGCAGAACTCTGGATTTTAATTATCAGAAATATTTAAATAATAGAAAGGGTATATGCTTCAATCCTTCTGAATTGTACTCTGGCGGATTTCTTTAGCTTAGGTGTAATGTACAATGATTTTGCTTCAGTCTCTTCAGAAGACGTTTGGTTATGTGAGGTTTCTAAGCGCTCCTCCAGTACTCCATCTTCCCTCTGTGTAAAGCAAATGTTACTCTTGTACGAATCAGCGTCCTCTAGGCTGAAAAGTCGTCAACATTTTATAAACGTAAATTTTCAGCGAAACAAGTTTTAGCGTGACACCCAGAGCTAAACTTGAACAAAAATTTTAGCCATAAACATGTTAAGATGACGTAATGGAATTCCGAGCTTCTTCTAATTGTACACTAGAACTCCTACTCGAAGTCTCTGTTAAAAGTCTTTAATTCAGTGCGGGTAATTGCATGCAACATAGGCTATTCTTGTTTAATGACCCTGGCGGTTCTGTTTATTGTGACCAACCGATTCAATGCCGGAGTTATTTTTTCCATATAGACGCCAGGTGTGCTTGTATTTAAACTCTCCCCACCCGTCCCTAGGCGGGTGTGTACCTTTGAAATTTTGTAATCGAGGTCAGGTGGGAAGGGAAAAGACGGTGGCGCGTGGCCTGGGTCAGGTTGGCTTGTCGTTGTAACCGACCTGAAGCTTTTATTTCCAAGAATGACCAAAAACGTCTTAACTTTCGTCAAGGAAATAACTGATATCGCGACTGGGATGGAAAAGAAAAGCTCGTGAAGCAATTCGCAGTGGACCATAAAACGTTGTTGTGTTCCTTTTGAATTTTTGAACTTTTCATTTTTTCCTTCAAGACAATTTTTGACAAGATCGTCCTTTCAGAAACTTTAATTTAGCTCACGTACCGCTCATGTTAACTTTAGGAAGTTTCTCTATGGTGTCTAACGTTATCTTGCAGTTTTCAATGAGGAACAAGCTTAATGAACGAGAACTGTCTCGACTCCGACCCGGACCACAGGCATCCCAACGTAAGAGGGCATTTAAACGTTTCATGGCTCACAAAGACGCAAAGGTTGACGCGGAAATCTTTTAACCACAGCTGGAGTAGACGTTTTCTGCATTACATGTGGAGGAACCCTGAGGAATAAAATTAGCCATAAAACTTCTACAGTGTAATCCGTGTAGTTTTATTGTCTTACACCTGTTTGTAATTTCTTTTCAAACGTAGTTGCACAAGTAAGAGATTGACACAACAATGTAGATGAAGTTGTGACAAGCCTCTTATATCGAGACTTCTTCGGTGAGCCTCTTTTGATTGATCGGTTTTTTTTTCCGCTGTCATTACGAGAAGGTGGCAATTAACGAGACTAAAATAACCCAACCACAAATGGACAAAAAGTGAACCAGAAATGATATTAACTTGTGATGGGCCACAAACGTTCAAGAAGTTGGACCGGACATGATACTCGATCAAAATTGATCCCATCGTGCGATGGACCATAAATGCCTCACAATAAGGACCGGAAATGATACCCGATCAAAAACTGATAACAACGTGGTATGGACCATAAACGCTTAACAAATTGGACTGAAATTGATACCCAATCAAAAAAATGAGCCTCACTTGTGATAGACCATAAATGCTTGGAAAAATGGATCAGAAATAATACTCGTTAAAAAAGTGATCCCAGCGTGTGGGGGACCATAAATGCGATGTAAAAATGATCTTAAATTGTGATGGACCATAAATGCCCGAGAAAATGGACCAGAAATGATACTCCCCCAAAAATGACCCTGACGTATGATACATTGCCCACAAATTCTCAAGAAATTAGACTGGAAATGATTACAGACCACCAAGATCCACCAATATCCTCTGTGGTGTATCACAATTGACTCCAACCGGCGGAGGAACACAGATGATCGCATAGTTTGACTAGAAATAATCCCGCATTAAAAATGATCCCAACTGCCGGTGATGGCCCGCAAATGCTCAAAAAATACAAAAATTGGTCCGAAAATCATCTCAGATTGCCAATGTTCCCTGTGGTGGACCGCAAATGATCCCAACTAGTAGTGGAACAGATATGATTCCACAATTTGACCAAACATCATCCTTGCCGGATTGAAAATGATTCCAACTTTTAGTGGACCATAAATACTCTCGGATTTGGTTCAGTTGGAAATGATCCCAGAAATACATGATCACTAAAAAAAAGTGGGGCTCTTTTCTTAAAAAACTCTCTGCATGAGTACATCAGAATGAAGCTACATAATCGAACTTCTGGCCTATCGTTGTCGGCGGAGGGTACTTACCTTTTGAATTTCAAAGTTATCCAGGAGTCGGTTTTCGTACCAAGGTTTCGATATAATAGCGATGAAGATCATTTTATTAGAATCCGCAAAACCGTAGTTAAAAAATGATCCAAAACTGATCGGTTTGAAATCGCAAAAAAATTCGATCAAAACTGAGAACTGCGTGCAAAACTGGCAAAACCGATCATTTTTCCAAGTTATGTAAAACCTAAACGATCCCATACAAAAGTGATAAGAGGAGTATATAGAGGTTTCGGGGCTGTTAGATATCGGGATCTGTGGAGGCGAATAATTGCCACTCAGACCGGAACCCAAATTGGGAAAATAGAAAACCACCTCGATACCAAATCCAAAAATCATTTATATTTTTGACAAAAGCCGAAAACCAAATACTAAAAAACGGAAAACCCTCAATGCAAACCGAAATCAACACCAAAACCGATAGCTTTTTTGCATAAAAACTGAGAAACTGATCTGAAAACTAGCCAAAACCACACAAACTTGGAATTCTGGCCCGGAAGCACGATTCAGGTAAGTCTGCATAATCAACTGATTATTTGCGCGCTTTCTTCAATGCAGAAACCTATGCTTTTACCTCTGGATTTTGAATCAAAACTCGTTTGTAATTTACGATCATTCGCAAAGCTACGAGAAGAAATTGGACGTAGATGGCTGGACAAGCAGAATGTAAGTATCATTACTCCGGGGAAAATAACTTCACCTCTTTTCTTAGGACACTCAAAATGCAATCATGACTGTTTTATTCGGACAATGTAAATTTGGTTCTTGATGACTAGTAGGGTACCAGTGCACGTGATGCAAGACGAGCGATTTCAGTAAGACCAACTGCTAAAGAAATAAGGCAATTGTCATACAAATATAAATAGAACTGAGTAATAATACAAGAATACTTACTGTAGAGAAGATTCAAAGATTTCAGGAGGCTTTGGAAATCAACATCTGCTATTAGAACGTCCACGGTGGAACAGAAAACTGGCTGGGTAACATTTTAACCCTTCAGCTGACAGGTTTTGGTCAACTTGTTCAAATAGAGCTCAGATATACTACGCACTAAGAGGAAATCGGCGTTAATCCATAACTTAAGCGTGTGCCACTTGATTAATTTATCTTTATTTTGTCAATAAATTAAATATTGCTAGATGATGGTAGGTACAACTGACACAAAGTCAATACTATGACGTCCCTATTTGCCAATAAATGTCCATATTGCACTCTGAAAATGATGAAACCTGACATTTAATGCAAACGAATGGAAATTGGGTCAGCACTGATCGTTATTAAAATAGGGACAGGAAGAAGCACGATAAAAGCACTGACATCAAAATATTTACATTCTCATGAGGCATTCGATGAGTAGGGTAAATGTGTGAATAAAGTCAGTTCGGGTGAGAGCCAATTGAGGGGAAAATGAGAAAGAGAAAAGTTTTCAGCGACGTCATTCGTCAGAAACGAGTGAATCAGTCCTATAGAGTCTCCTCCCACACTAATTTAATGTGTTTAAGAGTGCTTCAGACATTGTTAAGATGTCATCATGGTGGCACCTAATTAAATAAACTGGTGCAAACTCAATTCTTCCCTGTTGACTTTCATTAAAAATTTTTTTCTCACGCTTAGTTTCCTTTATGTGATTCGTTTGCCAAGATAGTACCAAAAATTATGAATCTTTACTCCAAAAATTGCTGTTTATTGATGTTTGCCCATGCCATCAGTTAGTGTCTTGGGTAAGTTACCAAAAGTGAACTGTTACTTTAGAGAAATAGTATGCTTGCGTGTCATAGTAAATCATTCATGACGATAAAATATATCACTGTATTCGATTTTGTTTTGCAATCGTACAAGAACTAATTCCATTGATTATGCGGCTTGAACCCAAATTGCAGTTACTTTATCGGTCGTTGCAGTAAAGTATAGCCTGAAAAAAGGTTCAATTTTTGCCACAAGCACAATGTTGTATTGAGTTTTATCAGACCGTTGGGAAATCGGTCAATTGTCCCGAAAAATGCAGCCTCTCCATATTTTTTTAAAATGTTGTAATCATTCGACTTCAAACCCTGCCATTTTGAATTTTGCTTAGCAGGATGACTGCACCATAGTTAATCTATTAACCATGACCGCACAGACTACAGCTCACTTCACGGTTACACACTCGGACCAAACCGATTCGAGCGGAAGCAAGATCTAAATTTAAACGGACGGGCCAATAGCTGAATCAGAAGTTGCATTTGAACTGCGTGTTTACTTTCCCGCCATTTTAGTGAATTTTTGGAGCAACATTCAGAATGGCTGCGTCCGTAGGCGGATTTTTGGCACGTTTTTGTTTTCAAAATACACCAACAATAGAGAAAGCAACGACAAAAACAAAAACAGACAAACATAAAATAACGCGGTATTTAGCAAATGTTTACTAGAGTGAAGGGTAGAGATACAAAGGATACGGTTTTAGTAGATTACTTTTCCCTAAGGTATCTCTGGATCAGCCTAGGCCTTTGCATGAGACCTTCTCAAGTACCTTGCAAATTTCTTTATCAGGACGCATCAGGAACAATATTTAACATGTTCTTTGTATTTACCATTTTTTCAGAGAAGGAACGTGCAAAATCCTTTTAGATAGTATATTTTTCTTTGTTTCACGCTCTAAAAAATCGTCCCGTCTCGCCTTCCTGTAAATCTTTACTGAAATTTTCTCTCCTTGAGGCAGCGTTGAAGTTACTGAAAAAACCTTACAGCGATTGATGTTTCAAGCATTTCACGTCTAAAAAATTTCGTGATCTAAAGGTGCCCTGCTAGTTATTTGTTATTGAATGCTAAATATCACATAGCAATAGTGACAGTGGTCACAGGGCGTGCACCCACATACTTGTAAGGAATTTGTAACCCATCGAGCTATGTCCGTTTCGTCATTATGCGCGATTCGATTAATATTACTTTTGATTTTGCTGTGCATGGGCAGCGGTTTCAGTAAGGATTTTACACTAACTACGTAAGCTTTTGTAATTGTGCAGTGAAGCTCGCCTAAGCGTTCTGCCATAGAATGAAATGTAAAATTGAATAGTCTTCTATCCATTTCATTATTGCAAGGTCGAATTTCATTTTCATTTACTCGTTCAGATTAATTTAAGATAATCTTCGACACTTTACTGCGCATGTCAAAAAGTTCAGTAAGATATTTTGTTTGAGTAACAAATAAATATGCGGGACCGCCTGCGTAGCTATGATAAACACATCATAAGCTATAATCTGTCGCCTAAAAAGTTTCTTTGAAAAAAAATTAAATGCCATTTTCAGAGAAAGGAAACTTTCTCATTTTCTTTCTTTCTGATTTGTTCCTCAGCTAAAAAGTCCAATTGATTTCAAATAAGCCTCGATGGTTTTCTATGTTAGTCAAAAAGCCCAGTGTAGGATTTCTCTCACGATACGAAACAGCCTATTATAAGAAAGAAAAAAAAAATGTGCAAAAAGCCTACATCGGCGAAACAGGCAGAAGACTAGGTGACCGATTCCGAGAACACCTTCGAGACGTGGAAAGGAATGACAAGGACACATCGAAACCAGTCGCTAGACATTTTAATTTACCTAATCATTCTAAGAAACATATGGCAATCTGCGGTCTTTCCTTGCACTTAGGTAGCACGGAAAGCCGTAAAAATCTTGAACAAAAGCTCATCTTTCAAACCGGCAGTCTAAATCCCACAGGGATCAACGAACGCTTTTCATTCCACTAATTTATTCATGTTTTTCTCGTTGCCATGTTCCCACCAATAACGTAGCTCCATTTTCTGCCTTTAAAAGCACACACAACCCACAATTCCTCTATTCAATCCGACGAAGGACTAACGCTCGAAACGTCAGCTTTTGTAATCGTTACGGTGGCCAATTTACCATTTCAACTTTGTTGATATATCCAAATTATTTCGTTACTCCCACCGACGCAGCCCCAAACAGTTTCTTTCGAAACTATCAGCCTTTAATCAGAAAAACAAATGGTTTGCAACGATCCGTCTTTGCTGAAGAATTTATCTTTAAGTACATTTACTCCAGGTAAGAACCTTCTTATTAAATAACTTTGCACTGTTTTGTAAACTTGATTTTAATTGGGTCAGCCTGAGCTCAGAGCCTCAAACAGGGCCGCCTCAAATTTTTTTACAGCTGTAGGGAAAAAAAAAATATTTGAGTTCGGTATACATATATCAAAGACATCTGTCCTCTCATCAATCATTAACATCTAAAAACCGACAGAAAGTCGACTTCACAAAGTCATTTTTTCGCTTGGAAAACTTACCAGTAAGTATTATAACGGAAAATGTTAAAATGAATTTACAGAATTCTTTTAATTTAAAGCGAAATGACTCTACGGCTTAAATATGGTGATTCAGTTTAATTTTCAAAGCGACTTAAGATTTCTATGAAGACTTTTTATACCTCTTTAACTGGGCTGACTTGGTTAAATATTTATTTCAAACTGGTTTCGAAAGTTCTCTCTTAATCTAAAATATGTTATCGGTGTTTACCTAAATTCAAATAACTCTAAAAAGTTTCAACAGAAATTGATTGACGCTTGAGGCCTGTTAAACGACATTAGAATATGTAGCGAGATTCGAGTTTTTGACATGAATTTGTTTGCATGAAAGAAAGTTTGATCTGAAGAATCTTAAATACACGACTCACCCATTGGATATTGTTTTTAAATATAAGACGTCTTCAGATGAAGTGAAAATTTAACACCAACTCGAGTAACATTAATAAATTTATTAGTGTTTCCCGGACAAGCGCTCTTATGTGGAATAAATTTAAAGTTGAATATTTAGTATTGAGCTCTTAAATTCTAGTTCAAATAAAAAAAAAAATTGAGGTTCTGACTAAGCTGCGAAAACTAGTTTTTTTAGCTCTTCCGATCTGACGAAGGGCTAGTGTTCGAAAAGTCAATAACTCTTTACGGTGGCCAATTTGCTTCTAACAAAGTGCCCTTGGATGCCTCACCACAAGAAAGACAAACAAGGTTTTTGTCAAGATCTGTTTCGAAACCGGCTTTGTACTTCGCTTCTAAATTTACCCCTCAAAATTATCTTTATCAAGACTAGAACCTTTTTAATCATACCATTTTTCTTCTTTTCCATGAAAGAAAATGTTATTTTTTTTTAACAAGACCGGTTTTAGACTGCGCCGTGACATCATTCGTTCAAATGTATGCGAGACTTGGACCGAAAGGATTTCGAGAGAGGCGAAGAACACCTGCGAACAATAAGTTTAAAGCCGCAAAGTCGCCTTAAGTTGTTAAGTCGACCCTATAGGCTGATATGGATCGTTTAATCCTTTAACAGAAAGACTTATTGGGGAGCTTTCTAAACCTACAGAAGACTACGACTCGGCCAGAGCTTATTTACTATGATTCATAACTGTTGATAAATCCTTTAGGTTCTGAAAAGTAAGGTTTGAATTCATAAATTTGAGAAACTCGAGAAAATCATAACATCATACTAAAAGCTTTTCAAGTCACATATTCAAGTACGTGCCCTTTCCAAGAGGGCAAAAAGCGTTAAGAACTCCGCTTTCTGGTTTGATTAATATTTCATATTATTAGAATCGAAGTCGCCGTTTTATTTTTTGAGCGTGTCTCCTATAGGATGATGAGAGATTGAATAAACTATAAGTGTTGCAGAAAGAGGTTGTCGGCAAAGGTAAAATTTTTCAAATAGGATTTTATTCTCAAGAAAAAAAGTCATTTTGTATATTTGCTCCTGAGCCATGCACTCAAAGCGTAGATCACCCGGCAAATCTTGTTCGATTCTTCCAAAAAAACGTCCAAACAAAGATGGGTGACATAGGAATAGAAAGATCAGAGAAATATCGAAGATTTCTTTAGACCGTTGCAGTTTCAAAGTTTTCAACCGTTTAAAACCTGAACAGACATACGTTCACTGACACATTTAGCTTTTTTTGTAACTGAAGATCTCTGCGATAATGGAAGAAGGTAAACTTTAAGAAAAAAATTGGTCATGCCTCATAAAATTGTTTGAAAGGAATTTCTTCCTGGAAAATTATTCGCTCTGATTCGGGAGCAAGATCGGAAATCACTTTAGAAGAATCAAAGATTTCAAATCCGAAGGTCTGAAAAAATACAAAATCGGGTCAATTACATAAACTGAAAGTGGGTGAAAGATTTTTAAACTTGACTGTCTGTCAAGTAGAGGTATATGAGAAGGAATTCAAAGATTCTTGATAGACGTTTTTAAGTGAAGTGAGGCGTGTTCTTTATGCAACGAAAAGCGAAAAACTGATGGATGGCAACTAGCGTGAGCTGATGCTTGATTACATGAAGTCGTCATGTAGTGTCGATATGTTTCCAATTGTTTAGCGGTGCACTAGGACAGTACATGTCATGTAAGGCAGATGCTTGTGACGCAAAAAAAAAAAAAATTGCGAACACAAAATGTCTATGGAAGAGAAACTTTGAAAAGCATGCAAGAAAGAAAGTGTTTCCATCAATTTGTTTATTTTGAACAATGACACCCCTTGCGTTTAAAGTGCCATCTAGGCGATAAGCAGTAGCAGGCCCGGCTGTCTTTAAACACACTTAAGATACCGGTAAATCAATTTGTGGAACAATTGGAGTGACCAATTGTCCTCTCACTCTTTGGACGTTATCATAAATGATCCTTTATCTATATAGTTGTATTTTTTCCTCGTCAAAATTGAAAAGGAATCAATGTTCCCTTTCATTATCCTGCGTGACTTGGTGTACCCAGGCTTCGCCTCAAACTGTCTTATGGGAACTAAGACATAAGTTTGCGTGTTCTCCTTTTCAATCTATTGTGCCTCTGAGAGGAGTCTTCGACAATGAGAGCGTGAGAACTTTAACAGAAGTACTTTCCTTTCGTGTGATGTGCTGCAGAGGAGAAGCTGTTACTTTTGATGGTTGTTATGAGAGGATTCTCGTCGAGAATATTCATCTTCTTGTCAATTGGCCCAAGGATTCTGCATAAATTATTAAAATGGCAAAAGACACTTTAAGTACTGCCTACAATTAATTAAATTTTAAATCTACAATGTGCCCTGAAATTAAAGCTTTTGGTTATCTTCTAAATGTATTCAATTACCAAAACGAATTCGCGAATTACTATTTGCAATAATTGTAAACAATGTTTTTGTACAATCCCACAGCAATTTCGATTTCTTATTGTTCGATATTCCTTAAAAAAGTTGTTATGGTCCGAATAAATGAAATATCGCTTGTATTTTCATTCATTTGAAATATAACCGTCTTACATGGCAGATCACGTACGGTCCATATCTCTGGCTGTCTTCAGATATTAAGCCTTTTTGACGTTTGACTGTTTGACAAAAGTAATATCGCATCCAAAGTATTATTACTTACTAACCATGGTTCCGTTTATACAGGTAGTCAAGTGAGTCCTATACAAGATGTCAGCTTTGAGCTATCGCCTTCAATCAATCTAATAGTACAATCAAAAGTATTGCTGCTTCCGAGGAAAGAGCGGAAATCTGCGAGGGAAATATTTACTGTGTTCAGTCGATAAATGTGTGATACGGTCAACAGAGCTTTTACTCGGAAGGATGAGGAGGATGCAAATTCGAGAGAGGATTTATGATCCTTAGCGTCAGGTTACTTGTTACATAGGATGAAGTCTGAAAATTAATTAAATCTTTCTCGGACATGTTCGTTTTGACTTTTCAAATACTTTGAAATTTTTATGCTGTAGGAACCTCTTCGGATTCAGCATGTTTAACAATCATAATACGAGTAACCAGACTGTTGATCATATGGTCAATGATGGATGCAGGCAACATGTAATTACAAAGGCCGAGAACATTGGAAAGCTATCGGCCTACGTCATCGTATTTGCAATTTCACTTTTTGGGAATATTCTCATTGTGAATGTAATCTGTAAAAGCAAGAAGATGCACAGAAATACCAACCTTTTGATTCTGAACATGGCCATTTCGGATTTAATCATACCAGTTTTTGTGATTCCTAAAAGAGTTGTGCAAATCGCTTTGGAATTACCTTCAGCAAAATGGCTGCTTTCTGGAGTAACAGGAGAAATAGCTTGCAAGCTGATGACATTCATGCAAGATTTTTCAGGTGGGGTCTCAACTCTTACACTGGTTTTGATAGCCTTAGAAAGACTAGTGGCCGTCGCGTTTCCACTCCGCGCCAAAATGATCACATACAGGTTGCGTGTGACATTAATCATTTTGTCTTGGTTGATTGTTGCAGCCATTTATGCTCCATATTTCTACATCTTCAAACTATTTGAAGTTAATTCTGAAGTGTATTGCATTGCAAGCTGGGAACCCGCTTTTGAAGAGCCCGCCACTGGGAAATTCTACATTACTTTTCTTTGCATTTCGTTGGTTTTAATTCCTTTCAGTCTTATAGCTGGGATATACACAGTTATAGTGTCGATTCTGGTCAGGCAAAGGAACCACTTGCAAGGAGCAGTTCGCGGAGGAATTATACGAGACAAACTGAACAAAAATGTGCTGAAAATGGCTGTAACAATTGTAGTGATATTTGCAATTTGTTGGGCTCCACTCAATATCAATCTGCTTCTTTCGACATTTCTCCCAAACTCTATATATGAATGGTGCACTCCCCATGCTTTTTCATTCTCTGCTGAGTTCCTTGTGATCGCCAACGCTGCTATAAATCCGTTTGTATATTTTGGATTCGTGGAAAATTATCGACGCAACCTTAAGAGAATTCTCACCAAGTCTATCTTGCGTACGAGCGTAAGGGAAACTGGAAGGAGGCAAAACGTTCGGCGCGAAACATTTGAACTGACTTCCATGACTTGCGATAGAGTGCCTAGCTCTGAGAGCACGGCTTCGGGAATTCGGATGATCTCGTTAAAGAGCCTAGATACAAGATTCAGCGGCGAAGTAACAATAGCGGAGAACCTGTCACTTAATGAAAATTGATCTATACTCCTTGTATTAAGAGTTTGTTTCAGTTGCACATTGTTAACCTGGAATGAGCTCTGGAATTACCGTTATTAAAAGATGGTATGGGTTGGGTTTATGGCTTGAAGGTGGTGTAAACTAAATGAAAAATGATCAAAATATACCCTGCGGGGATAATCATGTTCTTTTTGACCGTAAGGAAAACAAAAAAATCCGAAGACAGGCTCGGTTCCTCAAGGAATTGTACATAATTACAACTTCTTCAGATGATGGTTAGTAGTAAAATTTGAACCAAGAGTATTACATCGTTTCTGCGTCAGTCGTTAGAGCTGAAATGAATGTAGAGTCATTTGGATAATGGGAAAAATATTTTGCCAAGACAGACCTCGTTTCTCAAAAAGGAGTTTAATCCCTGGGTAGCTAGTTAATTATGCAAGACTTGTCATCATTCACCAGTATGTCCTTCACTTTGATTTCTGTTTTGTAAGAGATGCATCTAGGATCGAACTGACATAATTGAGGAGTTTAGCGCTATGCTGACGCCCATCAAAATAATTCAATGAACTTTAACCAAAATTAATAAATACCTCATGTTTCCGCGGAGAACTACCGTTACGGCACGTGTTTTATGTAACAAACTTAATTAAGTGTATCAACCATTGTGGAATATCTGCCAACAAGTTAAGCGTGAAACGAAATTTGGGTTGATATCATGCCTCGACCTAAAGAAAAAAAAGGTAATAATAATAGTAATAATAATAATAATAATCAGTGAAAAAAAAAAACGAATGTATTTGCTACCTTAAGTTGAACTTTCAGAGCTGTTCCCCTTTGCAGATATTAGCCTGGGTTAGACTCCTAGTTTTTGGGGACTACCGAGGAAACGACGTGAGCTTGAGAAAAACTGTGAAGAACCGCTTTTGGTCCTAACTAACGGAGAGCTTGGCAAAAGGTCTGGTTTCCTTGAGAAGCTTTATTAAGCAAACTTGAAAAACAGTGAAGAACCGCTTTTTGGTCTTAGCTAACGGAGAGCCTGGAAAAAGTTCTGGTTTCTCTTAGAAGTTTCATCAACCAACCTGATGGTATTCCATTTTTGGTACTCGAAGTTGGTTTCGTGGATAACCATCTTCATTTAGCTGGAAAACATTTGGAAAGGCCACTTGAAAAGAGCTGAATAGTATTTCGATAGTTATAAGCTTGTTTCAATAAATATTAATACCGTAGAGCACACTTTTGGATGTCTACTTGTTTTTGTATTATGTAAGCTAAGTTAAAATAAGGCTTGACAAGGATCACACAAAAGTAAAAGAGCCTGAACCCACCGATGACATCTCTGTTTCTAATTCTGTATTTGCCTTTGGTCACGTTTTGTTCAGAGCTTCAATCAGTTTCTTAAAAGTAGCTATCAGCTTTTTTTGTCTACCTTCTTACTCTCACAAGCTAATCGGCGATAGAATAATGATGATCTTATTTTATCAACACGCGAGTATAAATAGGCAGCAGCGAACTGTCAGGCATAACTTGTATTGAATTAATATTCAACCAAAGATGAACACAATACTGTTTCTATCCTGTCTAAAGCTCTCGGTTACTAAGCAAGCAGTCGCGCATGCTCGCTTACCAGTTTTCGCGCATCCTCTTTTCGCCTGTCTCCACACACTTAAAGCCTGTAATAAACCCCGATAGATACATTAAGAAATGATATTCTTTGACACACGTTCTGTATTGTAAGAGGAGAAAAAGACCAATTCTTACTGTAATATTTAAAACAATTATGGACAAACCTCCCAGCAACATAATAAAAGGAATCTTATTTTGAACAGGCACGAGAGTATGACAAAGAAAGAAAGTTCCTGCTCTTGAAATCAAACCTGCGAATATCGGATTTCGTTATAAAAAAATTCGTTATTGAATTAATCCAGCTTCGTTGATATAGTTTGTTTTTGTTGCTAGATGTGTAAAAAAAGCTATCTCTCTAAGATCCCATAATTATGAGACTAAATAAACTCACGAACATGCGTCATTTCGTTGAAAGATTAACTAAGCTGGAGATGTATCTCCCTTTATATATTTTCTACTTCAATGATGAGACATTTATAACGGTTTCGGGTTTTAATCGACCCACTTTAAAGCTTTAATGAACCGTTGTAGATCATTTCGGGTCCAAAGTAATAGCCGTACGCGCCGGAGGTATTTTCAATTGATAGTTTTAGTGGCTAATTGTTTTGTAACGGTGAGGTTTTTAACTTGAAGCAGGAAACCCTTTTGAGTTTTAATATTTACAAAATCAGCAAGTGCTTCTTTGATAAAAGAGCATTACCGCTGTGCGCAATTCTTTAAGCTTATACAAACCCGAACTTGCAAGACGAACAAGCGTCAAGATTCAGTAGCCGTGTGCGTCACACAACCATTCAAGCCAACCTATCGGTATCATTTTCGATCCGGGAGTTCGTCTTATTCTGACGGTTTTTTGTCCTCTCAGGTAACGAAAACATCTGTCAGATGAAATAATCACTTTCTTAAGGTAGATCTTAGTCTTGCATAATCTTTTCCTTTGTTCAAGGGATATCCTGCGGTCATTTAGATAACTATATTTCTTTAGTAAAGGTCTGAAAATGTAAAAAAGATGTAAATTTCGGTTTTAGCAGTACACCTGGCCACAAGCTCCAAGTGCAAGCTTTTAACGTTTCTTGAAGTTGAAGCCATAGCCTGGCTTATCTGGTGGAAACTCCAGCGAGTTATACTATGTTTGACATTTACAATGCAAGTAACCAGACTGTTGGTCTGATGACCGATGATGGATGCACGTCACGCATAGTCACTACGGCCGAGAAAGCCGGTAAGTTGTCTGCGTGCGTAACTATTTATGCGATGGCCCTCATTGGAAATATTCTCATAATCCACGTGCTTCTTAAAACCAAGAGTTTGCAACGAAACATCCACCTTTTCATTCTGAACATGGCGATCTCGGATCTAATCATATCAGTTTTCGCGATCCCGAGAAGAGTTGTAGAAATCGCTTTGGAAATGCCTTCAGCTAAATGGCTACATTCTGGAGTAACAGGAGAAATAACTTGTAAGCTGCTTAGCTTCATGCCAGATTTTTCCGGCGTGGTCTCTACTCTTACACTGGTTTTAATCGCCTTAGAAAGACTAGTGGCCGTCGCGTTTCCTCTCCGCGCCAAAATGATAACCTACAGGTTAAGGGTGATTATGGTCATGGTGACTTGGGTTGTTGGTGCAGCCATTTATGCTCCATATTTTTTTATCTTTAAACTATTTGAAGTTGACTCTGATGTGTACTGCATTGCAACCTGGGAGCCCGCTTTTGAAGAGCCCTCGACTGGAAAATTCTACATCACTTTAATTTGGATCTCGGGGATTTTAATTCCTTTCAGCCTTATAGCTAGTGTGTACACGATTATAGTGGTTGTTTTGCTAAGGAAAAGGAACGCTATGAGAGGTGAGGTTTTCGGAGGAATTTATCGCGATAAAATGCACAAAAATGTGCTAAGAATGGCGGTGACGATTGTTGTCATGTTTGCCATTTGTTGGGCTCCACTCAATATCAATCTGTTTCTTTCGATATTTGTTTCGAACTCTAAAAATGTATGGTGCAATCCTCATGCGTTTGCATTTGCTACAGGATTCCTTGTGTACGCCAACACTGCTTTCAATCCGTTTGTATATTTTGGCTTCGTGGGAAATTATCGTCGTAGTCTGCGGAATGCCATATTTGGTACGTTCCTCCCGGTCAGAATTCGGGAGGCAGTTGTCAGACTCATCCCAAAACGTCGTAAAGGGTTTCAGCTGACATCCATTCCCTGCAATGAAGTCAGATCAGCTCAAGTGATCTCCTTAACGAAATTACACAGCAAATGTGAAAGTGAAGATAGAGTGGAAAGGGAGCAACACCAATCGATATCGACGTTGTAAAAAGGGTTACTGTTCCAAGTAATGTAAAACGATGAAGATCCCTTTCGTGTAATATTTTTTCTTAAGCTGTTCTTAACTTTGTACAAACGTAACTATGTATTCCGATAATTCTATGAGGGTAAAATTGATTTGACGTTATGCCTGGACCTAAAAACAAAACAAAACAAAACATAGGTAACTTGCGCGTGCTTGTGTTTTTCTCAGAGTTTAAATCAGTAGCTGGCAGATAGCCATGAATATTTCTTATCTGGGTTTTTGTGCTCCAATGGGCTGATCTGCAAATTAACTCAGTAATGGCGATCTTATTGATCTGTGAGCGTAAATATGTTTTGTATTTTATTGCTCCTCTTCTTTAATATATATGTGCAATAATTAGTGTAAAGTTTATAACTTATCCATGAGAGAAAGTTAAGTCCTAATTCCTACTTACACGTTGCAACTTCACGCCAATTTATGTTATTCCAAAATGGTTTATACAGCTGAATGCTCGAGTTATTCCTCTGGGTATTCAAGTTCCGAACAATTTTGGTTTCCTTCGTTTGGGAAAAGGGGAGATCTCTTGATAAAGACCTAAAGCGGTCTTAAAGGAATGAAACTATAGTGCTATACGCTATTGTTTCGTTCTTGGATGATAAACTTAAAAAAAGAAACGTCAAATTTTATCCAATGGTCGTCCGATCTGTGTAGGGGTCTGCCTTATCGAGCGAAATCTGACGACAACACCGAGAAACGGCAATGAGCCAGAATAAATCGACGCGAAGTTGTCATGAAAAGGATTTTTTTTTAATTGGCTCACATTAAGAAGTGTATGATACTTACATTTCTCACATTACGATTTTTGTTTAAATAATTATATCATCGTCTACATACTGTACAATACTTACAATACTTACACTACTTAGAATAGGTGAGGAAGCAACTATTTATGAGAGGTAGTAGAAAGAGTATTAGAAACCATTTTATCCTCAATTTAAGGCTTACAATGTATGTGGAGCCATTTGGATAATAGCAAAACTATTTTACAAAGACATGCTTCGTATCTCCAAAAGGAGTTTAGTCCTTGGGTATCTAGTTAATTATGCAAGACCTATCATACTTCACCAGGGTTTCCTTCACTTCTATTTCTACTGTGTAAGAGGTGCATCTAGGATCGAACTGTAAATATTGAAGAGTTTAGCGCTATGCTGATGCCCATTGTCATCAGTTAAAGAACTTGAACCAAAATCAGTAAATATCTCATGCTTGAATCGAAAATTACCGATACGATACGTGTTTTACATAACAAACCTAACAGAGTGTATCTACGGTTGTGGAATATCCAGCAAAAAGTTCAGAAGTCTTATGTATGAAAGTCATATATGTGTACTGCGGTTTTAAGAAATGTCTGAAAGAGGCCAAGGGTTCAAATTCCTGTATGGGCATGAAAAAACTCAGACCTTATTTTCATTACTACATAGTAGTGTTCATTATTGCGAGGGTCGCTTTCAGGTCTCTTAATTAAGCCTGAAACGAAATTTTATTTTGATTTTGTAACTCGACCTAACGAGAAATAGACAGAAATGTATTAATAATGATACTAAATAAGGAAACAGCGAGTTTATTTGTTACCTTTAGAAGAGATTTCAGAGCTGTTTCCCTTGCCAGACTCTCAGTTTTTAAGCACCAGTGAAAAAACGAAGTGAGCGTGAGAAAACAACCAATAACCGCTCTTTGGTCCTCACTAACGGAGAGCTTGGCAAAGGTTATGGTCACTTTAAGAAGCTGTTTAGAAAACAACCTGTTATTTAGAGTAAGCAGTGGTCTGAGGTCCGAGGTCTTAGGGTTTTCCAATTTCGAATACAATAAGTTGTAGCAGGTATTAATCTGAAAGCTGCAAGTAATGTTAAAAAAAAAAAAAAACGATTGGGTACATTGTGCTCCAACACTAGAGAAAACACATACTCTCCAGTTCGCTTTATCGGCTTTGACACCAGTGTGTGACAAAGAAAAATAATTCGAAGTCAAAACCCTAGACCACCGTATTTCGTGCTCCAATGCACTACTGCTGAGCTTCAAAAAAGTTAGTTATTGAATTATTCCGGCTAGATCAAACTGAAAACATGACTTCTAATGACACATTTCGTTTTTATTGAAAGATACTTTCGGAAAAGTAATTTCTCTGAGCTTTCACATTCATCGTTTCGTTGGAAGGTTAACTAGCGCATGTGATCATCCTGGACATGTTCCTCCCTTTATACATTTTGTTCTTCCAAGTTTAGAAATTGAAAACGGTTTCGACTTCTAACCGATGAGTGTGGGTGGTTCACGTCGTGACAAATTTGATGTACAACCCGTTTTTACATCATGTCTGGTCCAAAGTGATAACGGTCGAAATTTTACTAGCAGTCTTAATGCCTGATTGTTTTGTAAGATTGAGGTTTATTTGCACTTAGCTTAGAGGAGAAAACCTTTTTGAGTTTTACTTTTTACAAAATTTGCAGATGCCTCATTCATTTTAGAGTAGCTTGAAGTCCTAAATGTAATAAATGTCTTAAATGTAATAAAGTCCTAAATGTAATAACATTTGGTCCCAAATGTTAGAAGCCTCCAATGCAATTGTTTGACTTCGCTAGTGCACTGTTGTTATTCTTAGGTTTCGCCCACGTGACCAATAGCTTGGCAAAGGTCACTATCCGCCATCTTGGTGTCCCTCGAACGCGGTAAACAAACCGTACCTAACGAAGAGTTCATGTGAGAAAGAAGGGGATAGTTTTATGCATTGTTGTTGGCTGTTCGAGAAAAAGTGGAAAGCATAAAGGCTAAGGATTTTTTTCGTATTGTACTTTAATAATTTTATCATTTCTATAGCGCAAAATTCATTAGATATATAATCTAATGCGCTATACCTAAGATCATTACAAATCAAGGGAAAGAACAGGAGGAACTAGAAGTTGCTGTATGGTTCGAGGCTTGCGGCTGTTGTAGATCCTCCATTTTTTGGTCGAGCTTTTCTCTGAGCTTCTTAGCCGATGAGAAATCGATGTCTTTAGCCCTCACATACGGTACTTCATTGACATAATTATGTCAGCAAAATCCATGAGCATTTTACCTGAGTGCAAGCGAGCTTGAGGTGTCACGAAAACTCAGACCCCGAAAACTCAGACCCCTCGAAAATCCAAGAGATAAACTCTACTCATGATCACTCCTGGTAATGCCGCGTATATTTTGACCTTTTGGGTCTTGATCCAACTGAAGCAGCAAAAATAAGGCCGCAAGTTGCACGTTTCGCAAAATCGTCCGATCGTTGAGTATTAAAACATTTAAAGGGATAGAAGACTTCATTAAGCTTAGATTTCCTCCATTTTTCCAGTTAATTTTGAGCTTTTCATTCACAGTTAACTGGATCAAATGCGCTCGCTCCAACACTAAAGTATTAAAATGTGGCGTGATTTTGACGAGCCAAAAGGGACGTTTGTTTCCTTTTTTTTACTTCGTCGCAAAAATCCTTGTTGTCGCTCTGTTAAAATTCTTAAATATTTCGCGATAATAATGGATACAACCAGAGACTCGGCCCACCAGTCCCAAAACGGAGACAATTTAGCGACCCTTGGGCTTGAGTTCTTAAATGAGGCAGAAAGAGAAAAACAACGGGAAAGAAGACTCGGCATCAGCGCCGTCACGATTCGCTTCACTGAAGAATCACTCTTGAAATTGTTGTCCGTCTTTCGCGTCGGATTTGTTGCATTATTCCACCGGTTTTGTTATAAATCAATTGGTTCCTGCTTTATGCTATGCACTATCGAATTATGGACACTTTGGAAGTTTGGAGAGCACTTCGAGGGGTCTGAGTTTTCGGGGTCTGAGTTTTCGTGACACC